TCTCTAAAAACATTATCATTACCTTTCGATACTTTATTAACTATCTTATCAACTATATTTTATCCTCAAGTTTAGTCCGCCCCTCATTATTTTTACCCACATTATTAATTGTTTTTTCAACCTCTTCAACAAGCTTAACCTGGCCTTCACATAACATATCTCATTTTTTTCTAAATCCATTTGCTTTGACTTGAATTCATTAAAATCAAATTTTAAATTTTCTAGATTTTTAAAACAGTTATTACAGGTCCATATATAATTAGAATGCTCACTAATTTTCCTATGCACTTCCTCCTGAACATTCTCACACTTCCAATGATAAAATAACTTACATATAACACACCGTGGGTTATCCAGTGAGCAAGTTCTGTTACATGAATAGCACTTACAAGACATTATTTACACCACAAATGAAAAAAATATATAAATCAGATAGACAAAACTAGCGAAAATGGCCGGCGTGTATCCTGCATAAGCAGTACCAATTCTCAACCCCTCTAACCAGGTGCACCTATGTTAGTGTATAATAACCGTGAATTCTATCCAAAACTCAAAAAAAAAACCCTTAAAATGTCCAAACGTTATTTTTAACAAAATTACAGATTGAATTAAATTATATGTAACACCTAATATAGGGCTCCCATATGTCCTTTTTTTAAGAGGACAATCCTTTTTTTGCATTGGTGTCCTTTTTAAAATCTGTTCTTCAATTTCTTTAATTTTGTCCTTTTTTTAAAAATGTGTCCTTTTTTTATCCTTTATATACACACACACACATATACATATATCTGAATCTGGCTTTAAATTTTGAAGTTGAATAAAAGAAGTTTTCATTGTTATTAGTATTTACTGAATTTAGATTTTTTGTAAAAATTGTCCTTTTTTTGCGTAAAGTAAATGGGAGCCCTAACCTAATATCGACACCGTAGTAAAATTCCTGCAACTTTTTTATAGTTTATTATATCTTATATTTAATTTTCTAGGTTTTGTTATAATTTATTTCATTTTATCTCATACTATGTTTGACATTTATTTCAATTTATTGTTTCCTTTTCAAACGTTTAATTTATTACCTATTTTCCGTTTTTATACATCAACATTGCTATTACTATTCCATACTGTGACTGATTTTCTCTTATTTACAATTATTCAGGTCAAATATTTTTTTTCATTTCATCTTTTAAGTATTGTTCTTTAGTTTCATTATATTTGTATATGATTGTTTAGGTAATGATTATATGCAATGCTTACATATATAGTGGGGAGTGTGTGTTTGGGGGAGTGTGTGTGTGTATGTATGCATATATTAATTGGACTTAAACATTATAAATTTTGCATATTTTACACACATGCATATATTAATTGGTTTTAAGCATTATAAAATTTTCATATTTTATATATGTTTTAAAAATTGATTCTTTAAAAGTTTAAAAATAAGAAAAAAAATTATTTAATTTACATTTATTTAATCCAACTATGAATTTATGGATTAATTTTTTGAATGTCGGGGATTCCGCTTGGAATGCCCCATTATGTAACAAATTTATTGTTTATTCATAATAAACGAGAATAAATGAATACATTCATTACATTAGTTGAGCGTAATTTTATTTTCATACCACATTTTTTAAATTTATAATTTAATACATTAGGTTTTTTCTCCTTTTATTTAGCAAAAACCATGAGATCAAATAAGCGAGGTTGTGCAGATCACCTTAACTAAAATTGCACAAATTAAGTCAAACAGAATAAAAAAAATACCTAAAATTAACTTAATAAAAATTGTTACGAAAATTTCCATATATAAAATAAACAGATATTCATACAACAGAGTATAACGTGAAAAAATAAAATTAAATCAAACCATTTTAAAAACAATTTCCTTGAGTGAAAGCTTGAATGACCTTATATTGGTTATATTCACTTCATGTAAAGGCAGCTCATTCCATAATTTTATACCACAGACAGCCCAATGCCTGTTATTAGTTACTGTCCTACTTCCCAATAATTTAAACTTGCCATTATATCGACTATTAGTTGTAATTAATTCAAATGTATTGAAATGTTGGTAGTTTTTCATATATAAGACATTGTAGAAAAAAATTAGTGTTTGAAAGATATTTAGTTGCTCTATATTAAAAATTTTGTACAAGGTATATACTGGCTTGGTGTGGTCTAATTAAGATAGTGAAAAACATGTACGTAAGAACTTTTTTTGGGCAAAAGTTAGTTTGTTAATTAAATATTTGGCCGTGCTCCCCCCAAAAATATTTCCATAGGTTAGATATGGAAAAAAGAAGGAATAGTACAACGCTATCATAACTGGCAACTTAGTTTATTGCGTGTTCTATATATTATTCCATTTACTCTATATAATTTTGCTAGGATCATTTCAATATGTTTCGACCATTTCAAATCACTCTGTAACATGATAACCAAGAATTTTATTAAATGAATACGTGATAGGATTACATCACCATTTTTTATAGATAGGTTATTGAACATGACATTGTTGGTTTTTATTTTAGGGCAAAACAAAATGTAACAAGATTTTTTCAGATTTAATGGTAATTTATTATTTCTAAAAAAATCATAGTATCAATCAAATTGCTTATTCATGAGACGAAACAAATTAACAGGATTACTGTCTGTCAAAAATATATTGGTATCGTCTGCAAAAAAGAAGTGTATTACGATGGCTAGAAACTAAAAGATATCATTTATAAACAGGATGAATAGCAACGGGCCTAATATCGACCCTTGAGGGACTCCAGTACGAATATTACATAATGAAGATTTCACGTTGTCAATAGATACATATTGTTTACGATCTGCTAAATAAGACCTAAACCAAGCAAGTGTGATACCACGACATACATTTACAGACAGCTTGGATAGCAAAATTTCGTGGTCTATGACATCGAAAGCCTTACTTAAATCCACAAAAATGCTCAATGTAAATTGTTTGGATTCAAAGCCCTTAATTAAGGAACCATAGAGTTCAGCAATTGCCAGTTCAGTTGATGCTTTGGGGACAAATCCAAATTGGTTTTTATTAATTACATTAAATTCTTTCAAATAATCCCAAAACCTTAGAAAAATTAATTTTTCAAAAATCTTGGAGAAAACAGGGAGTATTGAAATTGGTCTGTAGTTGACAAATTGTTTGGGATATCCATTTTTAAAAATGGGTAAAACTTTTGCCAATTTCAAACTACTTGGGAATATTCCTACCTTAATAGATTTATTGAAGATCTCAGAAAGTGGATAAGCTAAGAATTGAATTGTTTGTTAGAGAATTTTGGTCGATAGATAATTTATATCCAAACTATTATTACATTTTAACTTATCTACTATTGAAATTATCTCAACAGGTGATGTAACAGAGAAATGTAAGGATCGAAAATTATAGTCAACTTTGGGGACATAATTGGTTGCAGTTGATTCAGATACATTGTTGTAACTGCTATTCAATTTGTACCCTTGATTAATGAAAAAATGATTAATGTCGTTTACTATATTTAAATGATTTTCTGAATCTTCATTTACTATAAGTTGATTAGTATTACTTTTAGTACATCTAATAATGTTATTTAATACACTCCATTTTTCTTTGAAGTTTTTGGAATTATTAATTTTGTTATTAAAAAACATTTCTGTTGTAATTTTTTAATTTTCGTGAAATAATTATTATAATGTGTGTATATTATTTTATTTTTTAAGGTAGAATTTAATAAATATATTTTATAGAGATTGTTTTTATGAGTTGAACAGTTATATAGCTCTATATTCATCCAGGATTTCCTAAATCTATCTTTACAACAGAGAACTGGACGGGACAGACAGCATCCACACAATCTAAATATGCCTTTAATAAAATGTCAAAATCAGTATTCAGGTCAGACGTAACAGAAATTTCTGGCCATGTTATATTAGATAAATGATCTTCTAAAATTTTCAATTTTACAGAGTTCAGGGGCCTGAACTTGGATCAGTGACATTTGTTAGTCTTTATATGGCCAGTTAAAATTTTAGATATAAAAATAGGTAGATGATCACTCATGTCTTACAAAAGATACCTTTAAGAAAAAATGAGCTACAATTGGTAAAAATATTGTCAATTATAGAAGAGCACTTGGCAGTGACTCTAGTGGGTTGATTTATTATTGGATATAAACTATAGGAAGCCAAAGAATTTAATAGTAAAAGTTTGGGCAATATTGTTACTGGCAACATTACCATTAAATTCACCAAGTATATATAAACTAGAATTGCATTTTGACTTTAAGGTATTATTTAATAAATCATTCAATGATTCTATAAATTGTTTTAGGTTGATATTTAGTGGCTTATATACACAGATAAAATAAATGATAGTGTTTTTTAACTTGGTTTTTATACCTGACCAATCAAAGAATTCATTTTGGTATAAGTTATTAACATTAAGATTTTCATAAATAATATTACTGATAAAATAAATGATAGTGTTTTTTAACTTGGTTTTTATACCTGACCAATCAAAGAATTCATTTTGGTATAAGTTATTAACATTAAGATTTTCATAAATAATATTACTGGAAACTAAAAATCCAGTACCACCACCCTTTTTATGTATTCTATTATTGCATATAAAATTATATTCAGAAAAATTGTTTAGATAAATCATTCATATTAATATAGTTTCACTCAAGACTACAACCTTAGAATGAAAGTAGATACTATTTAAAAACATGGAAACTTCATTTATATGAGCCAACAAATTACGACAGTTAATATGTAAAATTGTTAGGTAATTAATATTATCACTAATTTGAAATATGTTATTAAACTCAGAAACAGTATAATATTTAGATGCCAAATTTACATAATTAAAATCAATATTCAAATAAACATCAATATCATGAAAACTGTTTAATATAGTATTATGATCATTATACTGATAGTTTAATATAATTATTCACATCATTCATATTAAGGTTCTTATCATCATCCACATTGACATGACTAACATCATTCATAATAAGGTTTGTATCATCATTCATATCAACAGACTTATCATCATATAAATTAAAATTAATAACACTTACATCATCATTTATATTATCATTTACATTAAAATTAATATCATCATTCACATAAGCAATTATGTCATCGTTTACATAATAATTAGAATTATCATACTTACCAACATAACATAAAATAACATAAACAGAGAATAGAGAGGCACGAACTGACGTTTCTATGCCTCCAGCAAATGAAAAGCTTCCACTGTACTTTAAAAATAATAAAATAAATAAATGAAGTAAAATAAAATACAGTTGGATGAAAATACAGATTGTTAATGATAAATGTCTGTGTATACATATATATATGTACATACATACACATATATACACACACTCACACTATCACGCATTAGCCCACACACACACACACATTATCCACAAAGATGTCAAAGATAATATAAATATATAAACTATGACGTTGTGCCAAGCGATGATCTCCAGTTGAACATCATGTCCGTAGAATTCATATGTCGATCCAACTTCATTTTAAATGTTTCAACATTCATGCCATTATTCTCATTATTCTCATTAATAGCATCACTCAAAACAGAATTCATCACAGACATAACCTGATCATTCATATCTATCATGCCATCATCATCACCAACCATGCCATCATCATTAACCATGCCATCATCATCATTCATATCAGCCATCAAATCATGATCAGCCATACCATTATCATCACACATCAAGTCCACATTACCAACATTTAAGAGGCATTTATTTACCGAGTTAACATCATCATCATGCATTACCATAGGCGCCGACTCCATGGGGCTTGGAGGGGCTCGAGCCCCCCTAATATTTATTCCTTCGGGCCAGCAACAATGCTGAGCCCCCCAATATTTTGTCATAGAAATTTAATATTTTTTTTATATATAATTTTAAATATTTTCTAAACTTTACATACAATTTTCATATTTAGTCCTTGAGATTTGTATACCTTAATTTAAGCAAATAAGACACAGAATTCAATGACTTTTGGCATGAAGTAACTTTGAAAGCTGCCAAAAATAATACAGAAGCACCATCATTGGCGTGCGTAAGACGTGCCCCCCAAAAATGGACGAAGGTGGACAATCTTATAAACTCCTTCTTTTAAAATACTTCTTCTGATCCGAAGGAGTATTTCAAAAGATTTTATATTCAAGCCGTGGATGCCGCACTTGAATTTCTGAAAACAAGATTCAAGTCCGAAGGATTTCTTTTTGCACAAAACGTTAAAAACTCAGATCTTAATGCTTTGAATTTGCAGGATCAGGATGTAAAAGTTTTAAAGCTTTTAAAATATTACGAAAATGATACAAATGTAGATCGCCTTATTCTACATCTGAAAATGTTTCGAGACCTCATCTGCCATGGTTGTAGTAATTCAAAAGGAAATCCAAATTATGCAAAATGTTATTGATCTGATGAAATGCAAATCTATGCGAAAAATGTTTTTGGAAATTTTCAATGTTTAATGCTTTTTTTGACATCACCTGTAACAACTTGCACAGCAGAGAGAAGTTTCTCAGCCTTATGCAGTCTAAAAACGAATCTGCGATCCACAATGGGACAGGAGAAGCTGAACCACGAGGAGCGATACTGCATTGCTACTGAACCTTAACTGAGTTAATTGACGTTAAACAATTATGCAATGATTTACGATTAAAAACATTTGCATTGTTTTAATTTCATTTGGATGTTTTATTTCATTAATTTCTATATTTATATATGTTTGAAACACACACACACACACACATATATATATATACATATATATATATATATGTATGTATATATATATATATGTATATATATATATGTATATATAACTATAATGAAACGGTATAATCATATGGTATAATATATCATTTGGTGGTCCTGGCCCGGGCCCCCCCAATATCTTGGACAAGTTGGCGCCTCTTTGCATTACACATTTAAATTCACTTGGCCCACTTAGTCAAATTACTGGTATCCTGAGAGTGGGATTCTTGAGTAGTTTCTTTAATTTGGTCACCATTTGATGTCGGAGGCTTGGGCGAAGTGAAAGTCCATTCACATATGTACGTGTTTTCACCCCAAATTTCAGGGTTTAGGATGGAATTGCTGCTGTTGTTAATATCAACACAAATTCTGAAATCCTTGCCATTTTTTGATTTCGCCTCAAAACAACTTGTTTTAATCTTATTAGCTTTTAGGTAATCTGTTAAATCATCAACAACGACTGTGTTGTCTAAGTTGCTAACAAAGAAAACTTTCTTCTTTATGATTGCTATGCTGACTTTTGGCACGCTTCACTAATGTTGGTACCTTTAATTTTTTTAGGAACTTTGACTTTATTTTCAAACGCTGGTGGATTCATTAAGTGTTGAAGAGGTGTCGTAGGTTGAGCTGCCAACAGATGCGTTGATTGACGAGTTAATGTCTCAGGCTGAAGCGAACGCGGCTGAGAGGATCAATGCGAAACGATGTCAAATAGATTTTAAACGGCCGCTCAGAATGATGATGCTGAGATGTCTGGCTTAACAGAGGAGGTGCAAGCCTAGGTAGCAAGCGTGGACTTAGAACTTCTAACGGCTGTGTACGTTCTTGTGTAGTTTTTTTTGCTACACACGAATAGGTGGTTAGCTGTTTCTGTAGTGCTTCAGTGACTGACAGGAACTGTTGTTTTATCTCAGTAACCTCATGTTGAATTTTGTCAATTCTGTCAATTTTGGTGCTGAACCCAACCTCAGGTTTGGAGAATTTCAAATAGCCGGGAATTTTCTTCAAATCAGCAGCAACATAAACGGGCATTTTACTTTTTTTTAAATTCCATTTATTCACAAAAAAAAGTGAAAGAGTCAGCCTAGCAACAAATGCTTTTCTAGGGTTGACTCCCATAAAACAAGAAATAACAAAGTAAGTAATCCAAAAAAAAAAACACAATAACATAAATGAGTAAAATCTTTTAAATTCTTCAATGTTCTTAAATTTTCATGAACAAACTTAGAAATAAAACATTGATACATTTAAACATAAAAAAATGAATAAAATCAAAAATAAAATATTAATACATTTAACTTAAACAATTTAAAAAAAGTTCTCAACTTCTTTTTGAATTCTGTTAGATTATTAATTAATCTTAAATATTGTGGCATATTATTCCATTTATAAGGTGCATAATAACAAAAGTTCCTGGGTGTTATTTTATTTAAATTCATTAATGGCTTATTGTATTAGTATTATTAGTTCTGTCAATCCTCGGGTTTGCTATAAATTTAATCGTATTAATTATTATTATATCAGTTGTAGATGTTATATTGTTGATAATTTTAAATGTTAATAAAGATGATTTATAAGAATTTATTTCAAAAATTGATAAAATATTATTATTATTAAATATATTGTAATCGGAGTGATTATAATCGATTTTAAATAGAAAATTAATTATCTTTTTTTGTGCGCTAAATAATTTGTTAAGTGTTGAAATGTTTGTATTACCCCATATTAGGTTACCATAGTAAAAATGACTAAAAATTATCGATTGGTAAAGTGGTCTTTTAGTATTATTATTTAAAAAAATTTTAATTCTTATCATTAGGCCAAAAATAATATTAATTTTTGTTAAAATTAGTTCGATATGATCAATAAAGTTAAATTTATTGTCGATGCATACACCCAGAAGTTTAAAGCTATCAATTTTTGTTATGGCTTATGCTCTGTTCATTATTTTCCTCGGTGTTCAATTTTAATTTTTAAAATTATGTTATGCATAGGTGTATTTCTTTTATTTGGAACAATCATGAATTTTGTTTTTTTTTAAGTTGACAGAGAGTTTATTTAATTTAGACCACTTTTCAATTTTAGAGAGAAATGTTTCAGTTTTGTGAATTAAATCAGGTATGTTATTTGAATTTGCGCACATAGTGCAGTCATCTGCATAGATGATTAGATCTATATCTGAGTTAAGATATACATTAACTATGTCATTTATGTATATATTGAAAAGAAGTAGTCCAAGGACACTACCTTGTGGAACTCCACTTAAAATTGGTAGTTTGTTAGAGTTTTTATTTTTTATTGTAACATATTGTAAACGGTTTTTTATATTTGTTTTTATAAGATTTAGTGGTAAGCTCCTAATTCCATAGTGCTCTAATTTATATAATAAAATGTCATGTTGGATTGAATCAAATGCTTTTAAGAAGTCTATAAATAAGTTGTGTAGGTCTTTACTAACATTTTGAATGACGTTGTTATGGTGTTTTAATAGGGCCATTTCTGTGGATAAACCAGAGCGAAACCCAAATTGTTGTTCAGTAATAATTTTATGTTGTTTTAAAAAAGATTCAAATCTTTTTTTAATAATTTTTTCATACATTTTAGAAAAAATTGGTACTAGACTAATTGGTCTATAATTTGATATTTCCGTTTTTGACCCAGATTTGTGGATAGGGATAATTTTTGAAATTTTTAAGAGGTCAGGAAAAATACCAAAATTCATTGATTTATTGAAAAGGAATGTTAAGATATTACATATAGATTGTAATATAAATTTAATGATTTTGTTTGAAATATTAAAATTGTCCATACTTTTTGAGTTGGAAAAGGAAGAAGCTATCATATATATTTCAGTTTCATTTGTTGAGTTAAGGAAACATGAAGAGGGGTTTGGTTTATTTATATAGTTTTTCAAGTTTGGATCAAATGGTGTTGGCTTACTAAAGATACTGGTAAAATATTTGTTAAATGAATTAGCAATATCTTGATGATCATCTGTTATTTGATTATTTAAAACTATTGTAGAAATATATGAATTTTTTTCTTTATTCATTAGTGTGCTTATATATCTTTCCAAGTATTTTTTATATTATGGATATTGTTTTTAAAAGAGTTTTCATAGTGTTTTTTAGGCAATTTTTCTTGTATTGTTGACTAAATTACGATATGTTTTATAATTGTTTTCATTATTTTCTGATTTAATTTTTTTTAATTTATGAAAAAGTCTGTTTTTTTTCTTAATCATTAGTTTGATTTCTTGAGTGATCCAGGGTTGGGATTGTTTTGTTTTTTTACATTTTTTTGTGGTCAAGGGACAGCTTTCTTTTATACATTTATTTAATGAGTCCACGAATATGTTAAGAGCATCATTACAGCAGTCAGCAGAGTAAACATTGGACCAGTTCTGATTATTTAAAGATTTAGTTGAAGCAAATAAATTTTTTCGAAAAGTTGATGAAGGATATATTTTTATTAAAATGTTTTTCAATTTTGCAGGATTGGGAGAGAAAAATAGGATAGTGGTAAGGTATATCAGAGAGGATTGTGCCGCTATAGAAACTTTGAAGATTATTTGAAAAAATATTATCAAGTGTGGTCTCAGTTTTGTCTGTGCTTCTTGTGGTAATATTTATTGTAGGAAAAATTGAAAAAGATGATAGCAAATCAAGAAGGGTTTTAGCTGTTGGGTTATAGATTTGTAAATTGATGTTTAGATCGCCCATGATATAGATGACTTTATTTACTTTTGAAATTTCACTTATAAGGATATTGAGATTATTAAAGAATATTTCGATGTTAGAATTAGGAGGTCTATAAATATCAATAATTAGTATGTTCTTATGTTTATTTAATATTTCAATCATATCTATTTCAAAATCTAATAATAATAATATCATATCTAATAATTTCATTATCGTTAATTTTTCTATGGATAAATTTTATACTATTTTTTATATAGAAGGCAATTCCCCCTCCTATCTTTGACGTTCTGCTTACTGCTAGCATATTATAGTTTGGGATTGAGGCAAATGTTGCATTTTCAGGTTTAAGCCATGTTTCGGTGAATGAAATTATATCAAAATTTGTTTTAATTTCATCTATTAATGTTAAAATATTATCTAGTTTATTAATTATGCTTCTACAATTGAAATTGAGTGTTGTTGGTATTGTTAAGTTCACTTTTATGAACTCGAGGAGCTGCGTTCAGCATGCTGCATAGATAAAGTTGCTGATTGTGCAGCATATTGCATATGTTGCTTTTGATTTCATTGAAGTTAAATTTAAGAATAGAGTCGTTATTAGGTACCCGTAAGTTAGAGCTAACGTATGTGGGAAGCTCTGTTGATAATTTTTTTTCGCGGACTAGCCCTAAATAGCGAATGGTTTTGCGTAGTTTGTCTCTTTTGTCTTTCTTTTTAGGACCACGTGGTGTATCGAAGTTAACATCAATCTTTAGGAGATTGACGTCGTGTTTGATCAGTTTGAGGGCAGCCGAGATTTCTTCCGAGCTATAGAAGTCGGACGCATTATTAATAAATATATCATTATTCAAAAACTCGTAATTATTTGATAAATAGCACAAAACTTCGTTAATCGTTAAATTCTGTTTACACGCCATGATGTATTATTCTATTAATATATATTCTTAAAAACATTATGTCTATTACCAACATAATTTTTAAGAGTAGATCAATTTCACAATGTTGTTTGGCTAAGGAGAATATACAAAAATTTAATCAAGTTGCTGTAAAAAATTTTTTACGATGCAATATTGTCAATTCATATTTAAAAACATGAATAAACAATTTGGTTTCTAAAAATAGCATCAATTTTTAATTAGTCTTTGTTTTTGGTCACCAAAAATAATTAGAGCTAACTTTAATGTTTGTTAAAATCTTTAGAAACAATTATTATTATACAATGTATAATAACTTATAATGTAATATATAATATATATACAATGTATTATAATGTAAAATTTAGTATTAAAAATGTACACTCATGTATAATATACATGAATGTACATTTTCAAAATTAATTAACCCGCAGATGGTGATATTTAAATATTTTAATTTCAGAGCAAATGAGCTGTTGGACCAAGACTCATTTGATGAATTATCCAGGTCTCTCACAAGTGGCTTTTTTTGACTTGCAACGTTTTCTCTTACACTGCCTTAGTTTGTATGAATGCAACATCGTCGATTTCAATCCTGATGTCAAGCCACCTTGCTTTGTGCAAAAGATTCCAGGGCCCGTTATAATGGAATATTTGGTCGAAAATTTGTATAACGATAACTTCATTTTGAATAGAACTTGTTTGGCATCACAACCGCGTTTGGTGTCGCCTAATAGTGGTAGGTTCAATTAACGTTTATATTTTGTTGTTCAAAAGATTTAATGTTTTCGGTTTTTGTAACTTCTTACAATATTCTGTCAAACCTTCAAAACGTAAAATATATATTTAAATTACAAAATTATGAATGAATTATCCGAAAAATATTATAAATCAATAAATAAAAACTTAAACTACTTGAATGTGGGAACTTAAAAGAAAGGATTGTTTTATTAAGCTTTGGCGTATTTTCTACAAAAACATAACACTACAATAAGTTTTTAGTAGTTTCTGTTTTTCACGCAGCTTTTCACAAATACTTATTTGTCTGTACATAACTGTTGTGATGAGTATGTGTGTTTGAGCTAGAATGGAACCTCTACCTCTTTTTTAAGTTTTAGGTGTATGTATTGGTTCACCGACAAAAGAGCGCACGACGAAATAGCGCTCGACTAAATTGCGCCAACAAAGCATGTTTGTACTGAACAGTTTTTTTTATTTTGGTATACTCTTGTTCTTTGCCGAAGTGATCAATAAGCTTGTAAGCGTTCGAATGGTAACAATCAACAGAATGCTAAAATGCATGATGCCACCCCTCAACTGAGTTATTTGTTGGCGGCAGATATATTTGCACCCGATTGCAAACATTTCAAAATGTCACTGGAAATTTTGGTGTCTTTTGGTGATTTCGTCTTTTGCGACCAATATAATTATCTTCCCAATATTTGTACATTTTTTCAACAACATCGGGGCAAGCTTCACTTAGATTTTCAAATGCAGTGATGACATTCTCAGGTGGAAAAAATGAAAGATTTAACAGCATTTTCACAAATAACCGTACGTATTCATCTTCTCTACATGCAATAGTAAAATTTTCTTTTTGCACTTTACGCCAGAGGCATTTTCCTTGTTAGAATAAACAACCGACTTGTTGGGAAGTTGAAAATACGGTGCTTATTGCATTCTGACTAGCCTCTTCAAATCCATCATAACACTTTGTGGAGCAAGCGTTGGTTTTTTAAAAACTCTAACATACTCTTCTTCATGTTTTGACGGAAGGATTGCATAAATAAATGGTACATCCCTGTGATCAATAAGTGCATGCACTATGAACTTGAACACTCACAAAAATAGCTGAGGTGCAACTTTGAATCTTTCATCAACGAACCAGTGTGGATAGGTTTCAAGAAGTTGGAAATTATCATCTGTTCCAAACATGAGAATTTGACGATAGTCATCTGCTCCAGAATCTAACAGTAAAAGGTTGACATTGCGATTTGTAACTGTTAATGTATTTTGTTTCATAATTTCATATAGAGAATGAGGAGTTAACTGTGGCAATTGTTCGTGTTTACGTTATTTTTCAATTGTCCTCTGTAAAGCGTAATACGGGTCACCACATTTAGTACACATAGACGACGGATTTATACACCTACATACACGTACGGTACGGCTGGTATGACAAAAACATAACGAAACAATAGTAAAACTACTAAACTATTTGTAAACAAATCTTTACTGACGTGAAAAAGACGACTTAAATAATAAAGTCTAAAAATGTTTTTTTTTTTTTTTATTTTAGGAAATTTTAAAAAAAACTGTTTTTTGAAATTTGTTTTGGATTTTCTTCGACTTTTTATCAGATAGAATATACATTTAACAGTTTTTTTGACAGTTTTATTGAAAAGTTTTGAAAAAAACAGAGCTTGTATATATACGCTGTTGCTTTCCACAGAAATGTTTTTAACAAATAACATTTTCCGGTTTCCAGCTCCTTAAAAATTTTCGATTCTGACTACGATTCCGACTCCGGCCATAATTTACGACTCTCATTCCCACTCTGACATTCTGTTCGTGTCTTCCGAATATGAACGTTGGTTGTGGCGTAATTACTGATCTGACTGGAGAGTTTCTCGCTTCTGACAACGATGGTATTCATGACTTTTTTAATACCTTTTTAAGTTAAAAAATGCTGTTATAGAACTTAATAATTATTTGCCTAAGTCTGGTGGCCAAATATTGAGACGTTGAACACGTTTGTAGAATACTCGTGATGATCGGTGAAATTCAAAGATGTTTAAAATGCAGAGAGCAGCCTGCTGTCCTGTGCGATGCATGGATTAACATGAATTCGCATGCACAGTGTGTGTTGTTGCTGTTGTTGATACCCCTTAAATGAAATTTTTAAAAATTATTTTAGCTAATCTCAAATTATAGAAAAAAAGTTTTTATAACTACTTTTTGATGAGAAGCAAAGATTACTGAACCTTTTTAAGCTACTTTTTCTAGAAGTCTCCCGTTCAATGAAAAAACACAATTTTTTAAATTTTAATTACATTAAATTTTCATAAAATAATGACATTATTCTATAATTTTGAGATTGTCCACAAAGTTTGAATCGAGAACCTCAAACGTAAGTACCTTCCACCCTGTTTCCATGATTGGCACTTTTCAAGAACTTTCTGCAGTGGCCTGCTGACCTCGCATCTAGTGGTGCTGGATGACTCCAATAAAGACCAAATCGTCTCTCATCGCCTTTACCTCAGCAATGAAGGTGAAATACCGTTTCATCTTGATTTCTTGCCTTTCAAAAAACCTTTCTGTGTAAAATTTATTTCTAAGCGTACAATTACAAATAAATATAGCTTTGATAAATAATCGTTATTTTTATTCTAAATGTGAATTTGCAATGATAGGCAGACTGTTATTTGTAATGTTAAATGGACATCCGAAATGCACGGGCCGCAATGTTCACGACGTTCATTAATGGCACCAACGACTCTTTCACTTTTTTTGTGAATAAATGGAATTAAAAAAAAATTAAATTTTATATCGAACTAATGTGGACCTCCAATTAAAATAGAAAATTTAGCTAAAGATAAGACTAAATTGAACGAAATTCCTAAAAATTGGTAAAAATTTAATTTGAAACCTAATTCAGCTTCCCTCACAACGATAAAATTAAATTAATTTTTGTACAAAACTACTAGTTTAATATAATAAATGATAAATTATATGTAAATAAATAAAATTTGATTAGGTTGAAAGCCTTCAAAATTTTTTCTCTATTTTATATGTTTTTATCGCAATCATTAGCTCCAAAGATTGCTTTCCTTTATCACATAACACATCTTCAATAAATAAATAATATCAAAACTATAGTTCAAAACTAAAGTTTTCAGCTTGTTATAATACACCATGTTGTTTAGAGAAAACTTTGCAGTCATAATGACACAACTGCATACATAATTGCACTCATCCTACAGTCAACATTTTCAAGAAATTGAATTAGTGCGCTTAAAACAGCTCAATTAGTGATTTTTTTCAGTGTAATTTTTTTCCATAATAGTTTTTATGAAACGGCCAGCTAAATTTGTCAAAATTGATAAAAAAACTCGAATCTTGTCATAAATTTTCAGAATTGTTCATTATAATATTGACATTGTTTCGAAGCAGTTTTACAAATATCCTTATCTTGGTTCATCGACATAATATGGTACGACAAATATCGTAAAAACAAAAATCCGACGAAATAGCGCAACAAAGCATCGTTGGTGAAATTTTCAAAAAAATAACATGAATGTTTGTTTTTTATAAATAAAATTTCCAAACGCAAATATTAAAAAATTCAATTGATATTTGTTCGTTTTTCATGATAAATTTTTAAAAAATGCAAAAATGATACAAAACATAATCAAATAATTTACTTTATTGCTTTATTAAATTAATTCGTAAAAAGTTTTAAAAATGTAAATTACAAAGTCAATTTATATGCAATGTGACGTAAATATTCCATTTGTGATATGGTATAATAAGTTGACAATATTGTTGTTAGACGTTTGTTCAGTTTGAGATATATGAACTTGGTGGCAGCTTTGTTTCGTTCATTTGCTTTGTACTGAACATTTTTTATACTCTTGTACTTTGCGGAATTGATAAATAAGCTTGTAAACATTCGAATGGTAACAATCAAAAAAATGCTGAAATGCATGATGCCATCCCTCAACTGAGTTTGTCCGTGGCAGGTTCTCTTGCCCCCGACCCCAAACATTCCAAAGTACCACTGGGGATCTTGGTGTTTTTCTGCGACTTCTTTTTTTGCGATCAATATAATTATCTTTTCAATATTCGTACACTTTTTCAACAACATCGGGGCAAGTTTCACTTAAATCTTCAAATGCAGTGATGACATCCCCAGGGGGAGAAAATGAAAACGCTAACCGAATTGTTACAAATAATTGTACGATTTCAGTTCCTTTATATGCAGTAGTGAGATTTTTTTCTTGCACTTTACGCCGGAGGCAATGTCCAAGGTGGAATAAACAACCGAATATTTTGTAGGTTCGAAAAACGGAGCTTATTGCATTCTGACTAGATTTTTCAAAATCCATCATAACAGTTTGTGGAGCAAGCACTGGTTTTAATTCAAGAAGTTTTCTAAAATAAAAACTAACATATTTTCTTGTTTTTAATTTCTTATTCATACTTCTTTTAAACCAAATATTGCTATGAAATGGTTGGTATTACTCACACAACAATTCGGACAAAGTACATCTTTTAAAATTTTGAATTATTCAAGTGTCGATTTAAATTGAGAACATATTATAAAATTGTAATTTTTCATTTTGATCTTTAAGTTATTTTTGTAGCTCGTATTTAGCTTTGATTTTAAACTAAGATAATTCATTCAACATTTTAAAAACATGCATAATTTTATTTTTGAATTTGAAAAATAAAACGTTGAAATTATTAAAAAATTATCAAAACGATTTTTCAAATTTCAGTGGACAGCATTTGGCCGGCACTTTGTTGCACATGGATTCAGCATATGAAATAAGTAACTCCAGGTGCATAAACAGTTGGTACATCTGTTGACCCATACGTCCAACACGTTCTGTCCTTTTTATTTTTTGGCTCCCACCCTATGGCCATACAATTTTTGTCAAACATACACTGTTTCTGGCATTCAGCCACTGTTTTTTTCTGAACGTAAAAATTTCTGTGATTTGCCAATTTCAGATTGGAAAAAGTTCTAAACCATTGGCAACCTGTTTCAAATATTGTTTGCAAACTCTGATTTATTTAAAAAAAGATACAGCTTAAAATAAAATTTGTGTCTAGTTAGTATTTATTAGCTGGCAAAATCAACTTACTTGTTGCAAAGATTAGTTGAAGTTATGTCAAAAAAGAGGTTTATTTTAAAGCAAAATTTATAAACTTTCCATCTTTCATTTAGCACTAAAATTTTGTCAAAATTTGACGAAATAAATCAAATAATAAAAAGGTTTGCTGGTTGTGTGTTTGCATATTGCTCATACAATTTATCAAATTAATAATACAAAACTAAAAAATTATTTTACAAATTGAACTGATAACAGTTGGATATATTTCCTTTCAGAGCTAAAGCTGAATAAAAATAAAACAATAAGAATACAGACCTCTTTTAAATGCCAAACAACAACCAACTAGGAGGGCTAACATAAAAATTTTGATGACGATCGTCTTTGAAGAATTCAATTCCACCGTGGATTTGTCTTTAACTCAGCTGCTAGCAGGACAAGCTGTAAAAGTATCTGAGCAATTGACTGAAAATCTCAGGTTGTTTAAATAGATGTTTTGCAAGCAACATATTGCACGATTGTGCAAGGGGTGAAATACAAAATTGAGGTGGAGATTAAGATAAAAGTTTAAGAGATTAAAATAGGGATTACCAAATGATGACAATTGTTATGAATAACTGTGTGTAAATGTGTAATTGTTTGTGTTCGTGTGTGTGGCGTGTGCGTGTGTTTGCTTGTAGACATTATGTTTTAAGAATTTAAATAAGTTTAATCCATCACGATCTTTTTAAAAGTTTAACATAAGCATTGTTACATACGTTTTTTCTTATCAAAGGATTACAATAATAATTGAATTTGACATGACTTTTTTTGTTTAAAAATTTATCTAACATCAAGAGGATTACAAACTATTATTATCAATCATTATTGTACTTTAATATTTCCAATTGGGTCAAATAAAAAAAAAAAAAAAACAAATTTTATTTTATTTTTATATTCAACATTTTTGTTAAAATTTTAAAAGTTTCTTCATCAAAAAATTGCTGTAGGTTTTGGTATTTTGTTTTTAATAACTTGGTCAGAGTGATATTTCATTGAATGATTTAATAATTGAAAAAATTTTACAACTTATTTCCATTTCAGCGTTCTTTTTTTACCGCAGAGAGTTCAGTTCTGCTGTGTGTTAAAATAAATAATAAATCTTAGGGTTAGTCTAAATTTTTCAAATTTTCAAATACAAATCTTTTAATTTTTTTTTCGACTTTAAATATTTTTTTTTACAAAATTTTGCATAAAAACAAATATTTGTTTTTGTCACAAATTTCGTGTTTACTTTTCCATGAAAAACATTCTTGAGCTCATCATTCAATATTCTACAATACAGCAAATTGAGTCATAAACCCAAATTTCTGGCTTGATTTTATATAAATTAAAAATGGTTTACTCAATTTGCTTTTATTACCGATTAGAGAACCTCAAATTATGAAAATGTGGCATTCTATTTCATTTTTTTGTTTGTGATAAGAAATATATTCAATCAATTGAGTAACCGTAGTTGAGGTTCACAACAAAGGAAACAGAGGCAACCAGAGTACGGTTTATTTGTCTTACGCCTACTTATGTGAGGTTTTGTTAAAACTAATAAAAAGTTTTTCGTGAATACTATGTGCGGTAGCGACCTTAAAGACTTTCACGGAAACAATGTAAGGCCACAAATCCATTCCATAAAAAGACAGCGCAAGATTTAACTCAAACAAGATTATACAGCAAAACATCTTCCAACCGTTTCAGTTCAGTTGCTGAGTGACTGATGCCATGCACTTATCATTCGAAATCTGCTGCTGTTATTGTTCCCACTACCAACTGTTTTTCAACGTTTGCAGTTTTTGAAAAATTTCAGCCAAATTATTTCTTTTTCAAGATACATACCACATGATTTTCATTTTTTTTATTGAATTAATTTTTTTATTAAATTGTCTTTGGTTTTTAAGTTTTTGGAATCTATTAGAAATTTACTGAGAGTTTAATCGTCTGTACCAAGTTTAATTATATAAAAATATTTATGATAATAAGATACAATTGATAAAAATGATGATTGCACTAAACAGAATAAAAATGTATGTTTCATGTTTTGTTTTTTGAATAAGTTCAAAAAATGTTGATTGAATTTGTTTATATTCGTCGGGAGGTGATTCCCATTCCATTTCCCAACGCATCATTACGGGGTGATGGTGTAGCGGTTAAGTGTTTGGCACTGCTATCACGGTGACCGGATTCGATAGCAAAAAGATCCTGCCTATCACTTGCAATGTGTCTGATGTGTTGTTTCACGTGCATTTACCTGCTCTGTGTGTATGTTGTTGATGCCTCTAAGGATTGTTGAAAAGAGATTTGTAATAATAATAATAACACAGCGCATCAAATCACGCTGCGAATAAAAGTGTATTTGTTTATTTCGATAATTATATATATATTGGTGTGATCATGTTCAAGGTTTTAAACGAAATTTCACCAGATTACATAACTTATAAATTTACCAGAAAAGGGACACACCTAATTTCTGCCTTTAGTCAGATGATACGAATCTCTTAAGGGTGCCAGTGGCGAGGTTACAGATAGGATAACGTGATATTGAAATTGCTGGTCCCACTGTGTGGAACAGTCTCCCTGCATCGCTAACAAAATCTGGGCTTCAACTTGAATCATTTAAAAAAGATTTAAAAACATTTTTACTTTCGTTGAAGTCGCATTAAATTTGATATTGTACTTATTCTCTTTGCACGTATATAATTGTTTTATATTTTGAGAGCGCCTGTGAGAACATTGAATGGGCGCTATATATATTGCCTCAATAATAAGTAAATAAATAAATAAATATATATATATATATATATACTGTATATATATATATTATATATAAATATATATATATAATATATATATATATATATATATATATAGTGTATTTATTATATAATCGAACTTGTTTTTGTCACAGTTACATAAAGATATCTCGAGCTAACACTAGTTGCATATTTTTTGTTAGACTTTTCAAACAGAGAGAGACATCGAGTGAATGGCTCAGAGGAATCAAAATCGTTTTGGTCGTATCCACCAAACTGCTCAAATTTTCGAAGGATTTGGTAGTGTCACCGGCAAGGAAAAGATGAAAAATGGCAGTTTTAATGAGGTTAACGGCGTTGTAAACGTTACTTTTGCAGGTCCAAAAAAATGTAGAAGAGTTATAGGAGATGCAACTCCATCTGAGAATAAAACTAGTGCTATGAGGAGTATGAAAGTTTTGTGTTGTTAAACAAAATTCAAATTTTTACATTTCAATATACAGATTTTATAAATTATTTCAATTCAATTTTAATAATAAAATTTATTTTTTAACGACGCGCTTACGTTACTTTATGTTAGTCATATGCAGAGAAAGATTTCTTTGTTACATAATTTGAATTGACATCGAATGATTGATAGGTTAATTGTGGAGTATACTCATAATAAACCAATAACAAATTACTTTGAAACAATGATTGCGATAAAATTTTGATAACAAATTTAAATACTAAATTTAACGATATTAGTTGGGCTTCAAGACAGAACTGACGTTAAATATTGATATATACGTAAACAATATATCTGTATACACAACTAATGAAAAATATTTTTTGGACATTGTAAATAAAGTATATTTGACAAATAAAAAAATAATTTGTCGACATTGTAATTTAACAAATAAAAAAAAACCTTTAAATTTTAGAAAAAACATATGATGAGGTAAAAGCAGAATGCCTGGAAAATAGAAGTTTGTTTGAAGATCCAGACTTTCCCGCTATAGACTCCAGTGCTTTTTTAACTGTATCTAAACAAGAGAAGTTTGAATGGCTGAGACCCAAGGTTAACATTTTTTTTTTGCATTTGTTTTTTTATTTGTTTATTCATTTATTTTATTATCATCTAAAAAAGAAAATGTGCATCTGGCAACAAAAACAAATCATTTCTAACAGTTTCGCTTTTTACATGACGCCCGATTCTAACAAAATTTACATCAAACATGTTTTTTATTACTTTATGTTTTACAAAAAATACTTTTGAACACCTAACAAAATAAACTGTGATAAAAAAATTTAGTAAAGCCAAAAATTGACGTTTATCATATTCGCTTCAGCTGATAGCCATAGCACTACGTAAAGTATATTATTCCTATTACTCTTCTTCATTGTAATATTAATAATATTGATTTAGTTATTATTATTTTAATGTGATAAAATAAAAAAAATGACTTTAACAAATAAAGTGTTATATAAAACAGATGAGAAAAGTCAAAGATATAAATCATTAATAACGAAATGACATGATAAGTTTGTCATCTATTTAGTAAATTTCATCTAACACTCAACGCAAGCTGGACAGCAAACACGATAAACTGCAATGGCAATAATTTGTTAATGCAAATTGTAATGCAACTTGCGTAGAAGAATTTAGTTTAGTATTGTTTTTGAAGCAATTTCCGCGTATATTTTATTTATTGGTTCATTATTGAGTTACAATGAAACAAACGAGATGATATTTATTTTGTAACAAAAAACAAAAAATGCTGTAAATAATTTACAAACGCGTTTATATGCAAATTCTGTGCATTCACAATAGAGGCAGTTGAATTGAAAAAATTCTCATACGTCCAGAATTTTTGGTGAATCTATTGACTAATTTTTTGGAAATATTTTGGTTAAAACTATAGTTTTGTATTATATTTTAATCTGTGGATGGACTGAAACGCTTTCAAAATTCATATAGAGAGTTCATTTAACTTCACCTAACCCCTAACTAAGGTGTTTATTGTGTGGGAGACTTCAACCTCAAAGTCATCCGTGCCTACGCTTCTGGATACGTCTATTCTTTATATCGTTATTCGTTATTACTACGTAGGCCTACTTGCCGTAGTGTAGGTATTTTTTTAGCGTCTTGTTATAATGTAACAAGCTTTACTAACAATAACGCGTAAACTTAATTAACAAACATGATCTGCTACGAAGGGAACATTGTTTTTTTCTGAAACACATGTACACTAACACGTTTAGACGTACAAATACTAACACACTTTACACATATGCACATACTAACACATGCACCCACACACAACACACATACTAGCAAACACAGACACAACGCCACATAAACAACGTGGCAACTAATAAAAAAATAATAGCTGCTTTTAATTAACTGCATGCATGACGTGACAATGCTCCAAAAAGTTTCTATTTGACGACTTAAATAGGATGAAAATAAAAATTCAATTATCTCTTAGCTACATAAAACCATTTTTAAACGTTAAATATAACTCACAATTAGAAAATGTTTCTCTTTTTCTCTGTCTCTCTCTCTCTCTCTCTTCTTCCTTTTCTCTCAAACAATCAGCATACTTTTTTATATATTCATATAGTATTTTTTATTTTTTATCTTTCTATGTTTTCTCTTTTTCTCTCTCTCTCTTTCTTTCTCCTTCATTTTTATTTTGTCGTTTTTTATTTCATTCGCACGTTTACTCCATCATTTACACTAACTAATTAAAATTTATCGTTATATTTTTCCTCATCGTCTCCCCTCTCACATCTGTTCATCTGTTTTTCTTCACTTTTCCAAATTTGTCCACTATCTTTTTCTATTTTCAAAATAACATTTTACGGTTACTATTATAAAATATCATGGTCTCCTCTCTTTCTCCCTCTCTCTTATTTTTCTTATCTCTCATTCTCAGTCTCATTCATTCAATGTTCTTTTCTCTGATCTTTCATATTTTTTATTTTTTGTTTTTGATTCTTTTTCTTTTACTTTCTGTCTGTCTATTTTTTCTATTTCCTTTTTTTATTTTTCTATCCAAAGGCCTCTACAAACCAACTTCTTCCAATCAGCTTAAATACATCTTGGTACCGCTACAATTGTTATCATTATTGTAATTATTAACATTGATGTAGTTGTTTTTATTATTATTTGTATTATTATTGTTATTATTATTATTATACAAAACCTTCATCATCAATAGCCATTGTCATTTATGGTATACAACACAATCATCATCATTAATCCCATTACCGACACCATCATCATCATCATCATCATCGCCACCATCATATGCATTATTATTGTTATTATTCTTCTTCACGTTTAACACCATCCAAATAAACATCGCTAATATCACTCAACTTCTTCTTATTATTATAATTGGATTATTTATATAGCGTTGTTTGTTACACTCACATGCGTTAAACACATACAGATTGATTTTATTTGCAGCATTTCATGTCCACTCTATCGAATTGTATTGCTAAAAAATTTGTCCTGTTAAGTGGGATTTTAATTTTCTTTGAAATTCCAATTTGACGTTCTACGATTTTACAATACGAGTGGCAGACTATTCCAGATCTTGGGTCCCGTGACTACAAAATCTCTTAAACCAACAGAAAGTTGAGTTTGATAAACCGATTGTAAAGTCAAATCATTTGATCGCAACATGTAACACAGTGATGGAGTATTTTTGGGAACAGTTCTATCTATCAGCCGGTCCAAAGATTTCTTTATGAGTTTCACTTTTAGTAATTAATGAGCACGTTCCTTAATAACAACTTCATGTATCAATTTATAATCAACATTGAGTTACATGAAGTTTTAACAAAATTTTTTATTCGTATAAAAAATATTCAATAAATTAGCATAAACGTTGAAAATTTTTTTTAGGACATTCTTCTAAGAAGCGGAAATGACGCAAAGCCTAAATTCATCTCACAGAATGCCACAAGATTTGATATCAAACAAGGAGCATTAAGTGAAGTTTTTCGAAATTTAAATAAAAATAAATCTGTTCATAAAAGATTTATATTTAAAAACATCAAACGTGTTTATTATTTTCATTTTTGAAACTTTTCATATATCTACAATACATGGTTATTTTTTATAAGAAATAGTTACCAAATATCTAACAAAAATATCAATATATTTATATATAGAGACGCGATTGTGCAATGTGCAATGGTCACGATGCCTGGCACAGATGCTGGCGTGACCGAGTTTAAACGCCAAGAAATCCCTGTCTATCACATTAAATGCGTGTGATGCGTTGATTGTAGTGCTATGTGTGTCTGGAGTGACGTCTCGAAAAAATAATGAAAAAAAAATCAAAAATAATTTAAAAAAATGAAACTATCAGGTGATTGTTGGTTGTTGGCAGCCATGGCAACCTTGACCCAGTTTCCTAAACTTTTTGACGTGGTCGTTCCCCCTAACCAATCATTTGACAAGGATTACGCGGGAATTTTCAAATTCAATTTTTGGGTCTTCGGTGATTGGATGGAAGTTTACGTCGATGATAGGTTGGGATTATAATGATGAGGAACGTGAACATGATGAAGAGGGAGTTGAAATGATGGGATGATTATGACGGCAATGCTGAATATTAAACTTGTCAGAGTGATAATAACGATGGTAATGATTTTTATGATGAGGATAATGAGGATGATGAAGATTATGCGTATAATGATAAACACAAAATAAAAAATATAAATTAGAATTGAATAATTGAGTTTGACAAACTTTTTTTCAGAATTCCGACTATAGATGGCGAAGTTGTTTTTGTACAATCATCTGATGATACTGAGTTTTGGAGCGCGCTTTTTGAAAAAGCATACGCCAAGTAGGCTTTGTGTAAAACTAAATATTAAGGCTTATATATTTATACCAAAAAATTTTATGGATATATTTTAATATTATATTTAATACTATTAGGGAATCATAATACAACTAGATCATGCTCATTTGACTGTTTACCTTCACAGATTATTAAGAAGTATATGGACATGTTTCTGCCATTTTTCACCTTTTTGTTCCTTTTTCACCTGTGCTTCTTTCCGGCTCATTTCCGTTAGCTTTCAAAAACGCTATGGGAAACCCTATATTGAATAAAGTACTTTGAACAAAAATGAACTTTCAAGTTATCGAACTTTGTGTTTTTATCTAAATTTAGTTTTTAGCAACTTGTCACTCATTCACGCCAATAGTCATTATTCGGTTTACCAATCTGGTTATCGTCAGTGCCATTCAACTAAGACGGTTTTATTGGATATTTTTTAAAATTTGTATTTTTGCACAAATGCTCGAAATGTATCTTTTGCTCTATTAGACGTGTACTCTGCCTTTTGTTGTGTTGTCAATTATTCATTACTTTTACACAAGCTCAAATATTCATTTAGAGTATCGGGTGTCGTTCATTGATGGATTGAGTTATACCTTTCTGGTCGTACACAACAGACCCTGTTCAGATCTAACTTGACACATGTTGAATCTGTGTGATGCGGTGTTTCACAGGGGTCGGTTCTCGGCCCCCTCCTGTTTGTATTGCACAATGCAGATTTTTTAAATATAATTTCAAACATCACGGGTTTGCTGTTGATATTAAGACTATTGCTAGTGCCCCCTTTGTCGTTTTGATGATCTTGTCTGCAGACTCAGATCATGTCTCTTAAAAATTAATGAGTGGATGATGGCGAATAGGCTTAAATCGAATCAATCAAAAATTCAGTTTTTACCGGTTGGCACTAGGCAGCAATTGGAAAAATGAACATTGAGTCTACCAGACTTGGTGAATCTGACATTGAATTTTGTACATCTGCGCGCAACATGGGATTTGTTTTTGACAATAACATGTCTTTTAACGTTCCTACAAGGGCAATTTTGAAAGAATGCTCTGGACAATTGCTTAGGTAAGCTTAGGCGCATCAAACGATCTTTAAGCAAGCATACTCTTCAATGTTTTGTTTATTTCTTCTTTATCCACTCAAAAATAGACTATTGCCTGTCTGGTGTAAATATGTGTGTTTCAGGCGGCCTTAAATACGATCACGTTAAGCCAATACTTTTCACTGGCTTCCGGTTTATCAAAGAGTTATCTTCAAGATATGTTTAACGGTTTTTAGATGTATTAAAAGAGTTGGCTCTAAATATTTAACTGACAGAGTCAATCTCAGAACAATGCCACTGCTTAGTCAAACATTATGCCCTAACAATTCAGGGTTACTCTATGTACCTGACGCAAACTTGGCTCTTGGTCGAAAAACTTTTTTCATAATGGGTCCTGCTATCTGGAATGGTTTGCCAAGGCACCTTCGTGATCCTGCCTTGTCTGTTATTCTACTTCGTAAAAGGCTGTAACATCATTTTTTTGTCCAACCTTACCCGTGCTAATGTCTTTTTCTCTCCATTCACTACATTGCTTTAATTAAGTGCTACGCAATGTACTGCAATAATCGTTATCATTTCTGAGATCTTTTTAAAGGGCGCTTACAAACACATTAATAGAAATAAGATGTGGATTGCCATAAAATCTTACCTTTAGAGTGAGATCGTTTTGAAACTTCTGTCTAAATCTCACCAAACGTGATAGGTATATTTCATTGAAAAAACTTGACCATTTTATTTTAGTCCCTGTGGTTTAATGGTTTACTTAAGGTTGTTTTTCAAATATTTTAGAATAACATCAACTTTGTTTGAAACTTTTGAAGCGATATGTTTTTGGTTAATTTACAATACAAGACATTCATAATCTTTGTAGGAATGAATAGATAAGAATCGATTTATTAGTTGACGATATCACAGTTTTTGAGTCCACTGAATCCTATCCCAATTCATATATTCAAAAAATATCTAGTGAATTTAATTTCTTTTAAGGTGTCATTTATGCCTCAATTTCAATCACAAGCTGTTACCATTCAATTTTTTGATTAATCTATTCTGGATACGTTAAAAGTTCAAACCAGTATCCATCCTGTTTTTTTTATAAAGTTCTGAATAAGCTCTTTGGTTGAATTTGTGTGAACATTTGACTCGTAAAAATCGTATGCCATTATACCAATCTGGAAATCAAAAATTTCACTTGAACAAAACGGCGGTTTTAAAAGTTTTTAAAAATTTATAATCGATAAACGATTAAAAAATAAAACAGAGAATCTTGTACAAATTGGATTTAGTGATGCTTAAATATTTCAACGGCTTGGCTCCCAGATACTTAACTTTTTTTTAATTTTCATAAACAACTGAAATCTACTAAGTCAAATATATTATATGTACTGAAAACAAACCTGTTGACAAGTATTTGAAATAAACTGCCAACGGTGCTTTGTCAAACAGGATTATCGCTAGTGGAATTTGGAAAAGGCCTAAAGTCATATTTGTTTAAAATATCATCATGATCTTGATTAATGGTCTGAATAGATCTGGAAAAAATTTTCTAACATTAATTAGCGCTATACTAATTCTAACTACAACAAAAACAACAACATTAATAATAACTATTAATGTAATAGTTTGATAGTAATAAATATATTATATGTTTATAAAATTATTATAAATTTCACAATAAGTAAATATTGTGAAATTTAAGTAAGTTTGTTTATGTGAGCATCAGTTGTTTCCATATTTGATATTTTAATATTTAATTATTGTTATGTCATAATATCATGTAATTATAATAACAATAATTTTATTTTTATAATAAAAGTTAATAATTTTTATTATTTTGTATCGCAATTTTCAGATTAGTTGGATCTTATGAAGCGATGGAATGTGGATTAATGGGCGAAGCTTTTGAGGATTTTACAGGTTGCGATGATGATGGTGGTGATTACTTAGATTAGAATAAATATGATGATAGTGATGATGTTACAAATGACGGCATTTATGACTTGAAAAATAAAACATACTTTGACATAAAATTACTAATATTACTTTTATTGAAGATAGAAAATCAAATCATTAATATTTCTTTTTTAATTGAGCAGTTGATGGCGTAGAGGTTAAAGGTGCCTGGTCATGCTTTATAGCGACTGGACTCGATTGCTAAGCGATCCAAGCCTTTTATATTCAGTTTATGATGCGTGGTTTCACGCCTGTTCACATACACAAAATTATTAATTTAAAAGAATAATAAAACTTCAGCTCTAAATTTGCTTTTTAGAAACTTTTTAATACTTATTGCAGTTTTCAAATTCGCTGAAAAACACTTTTTATTTCTTTCCATTCTTTAAAAAATCAGATTGAAAAAAGGCAGATTCTGTAATTCTGCAAATTTGTAATTGCAATTTGACAAAATTATCACTGAAGTCTGAACATTTACTGATCTTACAGCAAAAACCATTTGAAATTTGAAATTCAATTACGTATCCGTAATCAAGCATCTATCTATCAGTACCTACGCAGAGAAAGCTTCGTAAATCAAACTTTTTGTTATATTCTATGATTATCATAATTACAATGTTATTAATATTATTTTTGTTATTATTGTTGTTATTATTATTCAGGTGGCATAGCTGAAATGTTCGATCATGCTGCAAAGCCACAAAAAAACTTGCTTGGTATAATGATGAAGGCGTATGAACGAAGTTCTCTTATGGCATGTGCTGCAACGGTTGGCTCATATAAGAAATTTTACATAATTATCATAAAAAAATAATTTACTAAAAAACTTTTAAAAAATGTAGGCGAGCGGTCTTCCTCCGATGGGATCAATCTTACCGAATGGACTTGTAACTGTACATGCCTACAGTATCACATGTGTTAGAATGGTTCGTTTGATGAATCTGTTGAAATATAACTTATTAAAACAGAAATAATCGGAATAATAATATTTATTGACAAAAACAATACACGTTCTCATGGTTAGCTAACTAAAATGAGAAAAGGAAATATATCTTAACAGCAAAGTAAACAGAACTATGGAAATTTACAAAATGAAAGTTTTAAAAACACATATATATTATTTCGATACTTTCCCTTGCTCCAAAAATTTATCACATCAGTTCCTTGTTTACATTTCCTGCTTTGAACGGTTTTTATGTATGTTTCCGGTTAATGTACATCTAATAAGTATGCCTCAGCTTGCACCATATACTTAAAAAACTTCTCGGGTATCTGCAACTATGACCTATCTTTTCGTTGAACTTTTGAGTTATCTGTAGTTTCGTCCGAAATCATTATTTCTTCTTCTAAATCATCATTTTCACTATTTGAATCATATTCATGCAAGTTATTCGCTGTTGTCTGATGCCAACTGAAGACATGGAGTTTATCGTTCCTTTACCTACATCAGCCAGGAAGAAATAACTCTGGTAGCTTATTTTCTTGTGATGCTAGAAGCCCATTGTTTAACTCATTCCACAAAGTTTTCAATCTTGCAGTTTGGCCAGATACGTCTACATCTGCTATCCAATTGAAATTGAAAAAAATTACTGCAAACTTAGAACAGCTGATCTTTAGTTGTCGCTTCAATGTTCTTTTTTAATTCTTCAAATGCTGTGTTCTTGACTAATATTTTTTGATAAGTTTCTTCTGCAACTGCATTCACAATTACTGACTTGGCATTACTGTTTGCTTTTTTGAACAAATCTGATTTCTCTCTAAAATATTTTTTTTTGTTCAGTTTGAATTTCTGATGACAATTCTGGTCTCATTAACTTCCCTTCAATCACATCAATGCGCCCTTTTGGTAATCCAGAAAATCTCGAACTCGACGTTTCCAAAGTGGCCAATCAGCTGCGCAACCCAATTGTTTTATTTGAAGTTTTAAATCCATTTCTTAGGTTTTAATAATAATTTCAGTCAAACAAAAAATTTACTTTCTTGCTTCATTGGAAAGCCACGAATTGCAATTTCTGTTTAAATAATATATTTTTCTAAACTATTTTTTGTTAAGCGATCTGGGCATATAACCTGTAGGAATTGGGAATAAAGGAATGAATGAATGGATGGATTGGATAGATTGATAAATGGATGAATTAATGATTGAATGAATGAACGAATGAATAATCAATTAAATGAAATAACACTTAAATGAGGAATTGAAAAATAAATGTTCAAATGAGGATATAAATAAGAGAAAATAAAAAAATGAATGACTTATATATTAATGAATGAACAAAGGAACGAACGAAAGAACAAACGAATGAATGAACGATAAATAAATAAAAGAATGAATGAATGTGTGAGTGAATAAATAAATAAATTAATTATCTAATTATTAATTAATCAGATGCCAATCCAGCAACCCAATGGTGAAATAGTTGAAGTGCCTATGATAAGATTACGCAACCCTTGGGGTACGGAGCATGAATGGAATGGAAAATGGAGCGATAAGTAAGGGGAAGTTTTTTATTTTAAAAAATGACGGTCATTAGGATGATTGAGTTTGCAAATTTTTGGCTTTTTTGCGGACTTTAAATTGCAGTTATAATGAGTAATTTTCGCTTAAAAAATATTTGTTTTATAATTTGTTTTTTCACATATTATTTTATTTGTATTATGTAGGTCTGAAGAATGGCGTTCAATATCAGATGAGGTGAAGAAAGAGATTGGATTGGTTGTGAATGATGATGGAGAATTTTGGTAATGAAAACGATTTTACTTTCAGAAAAATATGACCAAAAAATAAATAAGTTAAAATTACAAATGTAATGTGATAAAATTTTATTAAAATTAGAATGTTGAGTAATCTATAATGGTCACTTCAAGCGTATACATAGTAATTGCTGTAATCAAAAAAAGTTTAAACGATGCCGCGGAACGTTATAAGAATTGCGCTGCATAAATTACGATAATTTAAAGATTGGTTGGACAATGGATCAATATTATCAGTATTAATTTTTAAAGGATGGACTTCAAAGATTACAGCGCAAATTTCAACAGCCTTGAAATCTGCCACCTGTCTCCGGATTGCTTGGAAGATAAAGATCCGCTGACGGGGGAGCCAGTTAAGAAGTGGTGCGTGAACAGGCTGGATGGATGTTGGCGAAAGAAATTGAATGCTGGTGGCAGCCTAGAGTGTAGTCCAGGTGTGTTCTTTTTTCTTTGTCTCTTTTGTTCTTTGGTATTTTATATTCACAGGTGCGAATCTAAATTAACCAATCTTCTTCATTAGTTACAAAATTGAGCTGTTTGTGTTGCAAAATTGCTTCAAGTATCTACAGACTACATGTCTAAGAAGAATACTTGGTGTGTACGCCTACGACAAGCACTAAATTTTCAGTTGGATTGATGATATAAGAAGCTGGTCGTGTTGTTGAATAGCGAGTTATTTCAAAATGTTATATTTCGCACGTGCAACCTTCATAAAAAAACAACTGTATTTGTCTAATTTGTTAATTTTTATATAAATTATAAAAAAAATTAACTTTACCGTTTTAAAATTATACCTTATCCACCAAACCACAGCTTATTGCCTAGACCAAAGTAAATATTAAAAATGAGCTAATAACTAACCACACTGTCAAACAGCTCTAAACTGAACTATGCTAAACTGCTAAACTATGACAGGCAGCTTCTGGATCAACCCTCAGTATCATTTCGAAGTGACGGATAGTGATGAAAATGATGACAAACAAGAAGGAACTGTCATCATCGCTCTAATGCAGAAAGATAGGCGTAGGCTGACATCTGAAAATCTTGAATTACTGGCTATTGGATTCGTTGTTTATAAGGTTTCGTTGGAAAAAAATGTTAATTAAATGATTTTCATCGATTAACTAAGAGAAATATTGTTAATATTTAAGGTTTTGTGATAATACGTAAATTAAATATTTATTCTCAAGATTTAAAAAAAAACTGAAAAATTAAGATTATTTGGTGTATTTGTTGAAAATTGTGAGTAAGTTGTTCAAACAATACACAATGTTTTGTTGACAAAACTTTCTATTAAGAAAGAATTATTTAGGAATGAATTAAATGAATGAATGAATGAATAAATGAATGAATAAATGAATGAATGAATGAATGAATGAATAAATGAATGAATGAATGAATGAATGAATGAATGAATGAATGAATGAATGAATGAATGAATGAATGAATGAATAAAATAAATAAATGAAAGTTGTCCAGGTTTTTGTAGATGAAAATATTAAAAATAAATTGTTTGCTTTGAGGAAACATAATTAATTTTTAGAGTTATCTTGAAATGAATAATTAAATTACGAAGAATCTTTGAGAAAAAATAAGTAAGTTAATAGATTTTCTAAGTTTTATTGATAATAAATAATTTCAACAAAAAAAATCTTTCTAGATGGAAGGTCCAACTAATCGACCGTTAAGTAAGGAATACATTGCCGAAAAAGAACCAGCTGGTCAGTGAATTAGTGAATAGATGAATTTGTGAATTAGTAAATTAATGATTTGTTGATTTGAAGCATTAATAAATTGGTGAGTTAATTAAATAATAATAATAATAATAATATTCATAAAATGAGTAATGGAATGAAAAATAACAACGGTTATAGGAAATTTGAAATATTAAAATTCATTTAGTAGCCCTTTAGTTATATTTTTGAAACTTCTTTCTCATTTACTTTTATAAACATCAACAACACACACACGCGCACACACACGCACACATACACACACACACACACGGTAATATGCGTGAATCCACACACACACACACAATCATAGAATGTGACACGCGGGAACCTCTTCCCGTTCAAAGCAGGTCACTCCAACGACTGCACCAGCCACCTTTTTATTCAGACAATCAAATTCTTCAACTTTGTATACATTTTATTTTTTTTAACTAATTCTTTGAGGATTGTGTAAACCTAATAGATTGGTCTAGAGCATACGTCTGCGAGAGAGAGATTTGCGTAAGACTGAAGTTGGAGCCAGGTGAGTTAAATGGACTTTTTATTCGTGGCAGTTGATGTAACGTTGGAATACGTACATGAGCTGTTCTAACGTCTGCTGCAATTAATGCAATACTTTACTTAATGATATTGATTAAATAACAACATCGTCGTCGTCATCTAAATAATCATCACCATCATCATTATCATCATCTTCGTACATCAATACGCTCATCATCAACAACTAAACCACCATTCTTTTCAACACGTCATCATCATCATCAACAACTAAACCACCATTCTTTCCAACACGTCATCATCATCATTATCATCATCAACAACAACTAAACCACCATTCTTATCAACACGCCATCATCATCATCACCATCATCATCACCACCACCATCTCTTCCACAGGACACTACTGTTTGATCCCATCGACGTTTGATGTGGGAGAGGAGGGGGATTTCCTTATAAGGATATTCAGCGAGAAGCCCGTTCCATCAGTGTGAGTGATAATAATGATGATGATGATGACGACGATGATCATGATGACGATGATGGTGAATTTAGCTCGATAATGACGTCAGTGAAGTTGTTTACGATGATTTCATTTCGCCAAGAATGGATGAAGTCAATTTTTTATATTCCTTTTATGCTACGGTGTCACAATAATTTTTATCATTATCACGTTTGTGAGGTTGGGATATCGTTACATTCAAATCCTGGAGCTATGAGGGCAGGCACCTTAACTTCTGTTAAATAGTCAACAGTCATTTTTTATTCATTTTCCAAGTTAATGCTACACGTTATATTGTTGAAAATTCAACCCAGACAAATTGACGACAAGACAGCCATCAAAAAATGCGATGTGAGAAAAAAAGATACAACAATAATATTTTTTTAAATATTTTCTTAAATTTTCATCTTATGTTATTGTTTCTTACTATTAATTAATAGTTTAGTTTAATCACTTGCCAAAATTTTGTTATCAAAAAAATTAATAAAATTCCGCCATTTTAACTTCCGGCAACTATGAATTACCCACCAATCAGAAAGAGGACCTTGCAACCATGTCCCTGAGACTTGCTTTTGAAAAATTAACGGGTGTAGAAAAAGAAATGAATGTTTATCAGTTTCAAAATCTTCTCAAGTCAGTTTTCAAAAATGGAGGTTAGTGGTGGCTCAGTAGTTAGAGTTCCTGGCTCTTGCGTTGCAGCGACCTTGTTCGTATGCAAAGAGAGACCCAGATTTTTGAAAACAGTAAACACATTCATAAAAATTTAATTTACACATGTATATATATATATATATATATATATATATTTACAATATTCTATAAATTCTACCGAATGTTTGGTGTTAATATGTTTGTAGTTCGTTTTTTCCATTTTTTCTCACTAAAGTTTTTTGGTGAACGTTTAGTTTATTAAAATTCAAAATAAACTTATTTTTTGAATTCATGCTGCAAATAAGGCCATATTTAGATTCCGAATGAATCATCATCAGGGCTCCTTGCTGTATATATAGGGAAATATTGACTTTGTCAAGATGAACTTTGACGTTGTAAAAATTAACTTTGGTGTTGTAAAGTTGAACTTTGATGCGAATTAGGTGTCAGGTTTCTTTATTACAGAGTGGTGCTATCTTCTTTGGTCTCCTTTTCTTCATCGATAGTATCATATTCTTCTTTGTCACTATTTACGATGCTAGTTTTTATTACTTCTTGGTTTTCGTTGTTGTGCACGTCAACATGACTCATATATCGGGATTAGTGACTAGAAGGCTTACGATGCATAAACAGAGTGGTGCTATCAAATCTCATTCGGACTCAACACACTCAATCACAATTATCCGTGAAATCCTCGACAGCAACACCAAAGTAATATACCAGAAAAGCAACTACACGCATCTTTAAATTGCAGAAGCAGTCCTAATTGACATTAATAAACCAAAAATAAATATCAACAAAAAATGCA